GGGCCCCGCGGGCCCCGCCGAGCCGCCCGCGCAGGGCGAGCAGGGCTCAGCCGCATGGAGGGCGCCCGGCCGGAGGCGACCGCGCCTGGCCCCGTCTAGGGCGGCCCGCGGGGCTCGTCCCTCCTCCTCCTCCGCCGAGCGGGGCAGCGGCCGCGCCCGGGCGCGCCGAGGAGCGGGAGCGGGGCTGCTGCACCACAGGAGGAGCCGGCCCAGGTGAGGAACGCGCAGCGGGCGCCGAACGCTTCACCCGCTCCCCGCGCCTGGTGCTGGGCTCGGGACACGGCACAAACCTCCTCCTCGTCCAACCCGCCACCAAGAGCGAGATGCGGCCCCAGTCTTGACTTGTGTGGTCCTCGTTGCTTTGGTATTTTAGGGGTTTTTTTAAATGAGCTCGTTTGTGGGTGTTTGGAGGTCGTGTGTTTTGTAATTCAGCAGAATTACGCGGAAAAGTAGGTTATTATGGTTTAAACTGACAGAGCTCTCGGTGGTGCCCCGCGACAGGACGAGGAGCAATGGAAACACGAGAAGTTCCACCTCAGCACGAGGAGGAGCTTCTTTATGCCGAGCCCTGGAAGAGCTGCCCAGGAAGGGCGTGGAGTCTCCCCCTCTGGAGACATTCCAAACCCACCTGGGCGCGTCCCTGTGTCACCTGCTCCAGGTGACCTTGCCTTGGACTGGATGGTTTCCAGAGGGCCCTCCCAGCCCCAGCCATTCTGGGATTCTCTGAGACCATATGGAAACATCTGGAAGCTGCATGCATTTGATGGGACGTGTGTGATTGAAGTTCAGTGCTCTGAGTAGCTAGTCTAAGACTAGTCTAAGATTAGTTTTCTTATGTAGTTTGGGTCCCTGAGCAAAGATGTCCACCCTAACACAAGGGTCTGATGTTCTTCCAGAGATAATTCTCTCAGTTGTGCTGTGGGAAAGGAAGACTCAGGCTGTGGATGTGGAACAGGAAGATGCTCCACACTCCATTGCAGAGGGCTCAGGCTGCATAGTTGGGAAGAACACAAAGAGAGCTCCTTTAAGCCTTGCTGGATAAGAAACATTTACACTATGATTTCACACTTGGTGTATTTATCAGTGAGAGACCGAAGTACAGATGCAAATATGAGTTTAAAAATCAAGAGGTGTTTAGCAAAGTAAAGGTTGAAAATCAGTTTAAAGTCTGATTATGCTACTTGAAGTTCTGTAAAGCTTAATCATAAGTTGGTTTTTTCCATGTAACTTTTTTTAGGAAATAAGCTTTAAGTAGGAAGCAGTTTCTGCTTATTTTTTTAAGTTTCTTTTAACTAGGGAAGTGAAGAGGGCAATACTGTGAATTCTTGTTGCCTTCTCAGCAGTATAATCTTTTTTCTGCATTTTTCCTTCTGAGAAAAAATAGTTTCTTCTGGTTATAAACCTAGTCTGCTAAATATGGATTAGTTAGTGTTCAAGAGGAATGTTTGTCTCCATGTAAATAGATTTTTAAAGTGGGGATTTTTGTGTTTTTTAAAAACTCTGAACAGTTCTGTCAAAGTTATAACAGAATCATAGATTAACAGCATGGTTTGGGTTGGAAGGGACCATGGGCAGGGACAGTTTCTACAGTTTCTCCCTGATTTTGATGTCTTGTTTCTTTTAGGAAGAAAATGAAAATATTTTCTGAGTCTCATAAAACTGTTTTCGTGGTGGATCACTGCCCCTACATGGCAGAATCATGCAGGCAACACGTTGAATTCGACATGTTAGTGAAGAACAGGACACAGGGAATTATCCCTCTGGCACCCATCTCCAAGTCCCTATGGACCTGCTCCGTGGAATCATCCATGGAGTACTGTAGAATAATGTATGATATCTTCCCTTTCAAGAAACTGGTAAGTTCTTCCAGCCTTCTTGATGGTATGAGGAATATTTTTCTTTTATATTTAAGTGTTTTAAATAATTAACTGTTGGTTAGATTGAAATATGAAATATAATTTATTATTTAAAATTTCTTTCTGCTGCTGTTACGCTTTACAGCACTTTAAGTTGGTTTTAGTAATATATGAATCCTATAACATATTTAATTTTGGTACCTTTCATTGTCTTACTGTCAGTTTATAACTTAACACAAGAGATGAAGAAGGGCTTTAGGGCATCTTAGAGATTTATTCCCTTGTTGTCCTGAGCTGTAACTTTACAAAAGCTTGTGAGGTATTGCTTCAAACTGAATTTTGTTGCTAGACACACTTGGTAGCTTTTCATAAAGTTTATGGTGTCAACTTTGAAGGAATTCTTGGCTTGAGGAAGAGGTAGGATCACCCTGATACTGCCAGTTTGGGAAAGTGGGAGTGCTTCCTGGCACACACAGTTCCCTGTTTTTCTAAATATGTTTTCCTAGGTGATGTTTTTTAAATTTTGTTGGATATTTGCCTCATGATATACTGTGACAGTCCTTGGAGAATGATGTGCAGTATTGCAGTATTAGATTTTATTTTGTAGGTGTTCTGCTGAAAAGATTGCATAATTATTGAAATACTTAATAATCTGCAGTTCTAATTTGGTGTAGAGATTGGTTTTATGGCTTAAAAATATAAACAGAGTAAGAAGTTGTTACTCATGTTACTAAAGGGAAAACTGAACGTGTCAGGAGTGTGTGATTTTGGTGGTTCGTTGTGTTATTTTGAGTTTACTTTGTCATTGCACATCTCCAGAACATCAGGAAAAAGGAGTGTAATTCATATTTACTTGGATTTGGGGAAATAGCAATATAATATCTGTTATCTTACATATGATTTTTTGATCCTTTCAGGTGAATTTCATTGTGAGTGATTCTGGAGCTCATGTCTTGAATTCTTGGACTCAAGAAGATCAGAACTTGCAGGAGGTATGGTTTGTAGCTGGTCTCTTGTAGGCGTAGTTTAATTGTGAAATAAATAGCAACATTTCAGTATGTTTAGTATGAAATAACTCTGGTTAATTAAAATGTTGGTGGATCTGGTCTGAAATTGTTGCATAACAATTTCAAGTAGCTGCCTGTGAGCCTGGATTACTCTACAGACAGCTTTACAAAATTTAAAGAGTCTCTCACTATAGACTTACATCATTAATTTCGTATTATTTATTTTAATATGTATTTCTTCTGTAATTTGGTGCTACTTATTAAATTCCTTCCTTTTTTTTTAACATTTGCATGGTAGGCAAATAAACCTGTAAGTGCATCATAATACACACACAGAAAATAAACACAAACCATGAGATACATCTGATTTTTTTCCCCAGCCAACAAGAACATCGGTTTGGGGCTTAAAAAGAAACAACACAAAAAACACCCCACAAATAGACAGACAACAAACAAAAAACCCACAACAAATGAAACAAAAAACCCCAACCAACCAAAACTCCCCAAACCAAAACAGAAACAACAAAACCCCCAAAATCTAAACAAAAAATGAGGATATTATATTTTCAAGGCTCAGTAACAATTAATAAATTGAATTCCAGAGGTTGATTTAGGGCCAGATGTTTCCCAGAAGGCCACCAAGATACAATGCTG